AATTTCCATCTAGCCCTATCTTCTATGATTGCTATTGTATTTAGACTTCCCAAAGATATATAACTCTATGTTCCCTCTTGCTTACTAGTTACTACTCTACCAATCGAATCTGAAAAATGCGTTGTACCAGTCAAATGAGGAGCTTTCTTCACTTGTAATCAAGATTTAAACTTTGTTTTCAATATCTTCATCATAATGTCAGCTTGAGAAAACCATGAACAAACAAGTAAGGTGTGCTTCGATCAGCTCTAATTGTAACAAGCTAATGTATCCATTATCATCAATCACACCTCAAAAAGAGAACCTTGTTCATATGTGAAATTTCCATAAATTTATATTGCTTTGATGAAGATCCAAATTTTTATTCCAACTAACGAAACCAAACCAATCCAATTCCACAATAAATAAAAACAGGAAACTGTTTTGAACACAAAGTTACATTATCTCAACTCGCTCTTGGATCCATCCCTTGTTGCCAAATGTAAACAAGCTCGTCCCAACCTGTACTCGCCATTAAACCTTCAACAAGAACACTCATGTCGATCCCAACAGCAAATTCAGTATGATGATCATACCGACTAACCAAAGCATCTTCCACCATGTAATCCCAAAGACATACAGTCATATCATAAGAACAAGAAGCCATCAAATTCCTCCGATGCGGCGAGAATTTCACTTTCCTCACCGCATAACCATGACCATTAAGCACAGCTAAAGGAACCCTGTAACTCCTCACATCCCATACCTTGATCGTCTTGTCCACTGAAGAAGTAGCTAAGATACAATCATCGTACTTGTTCCAATCACAGGACAAAATCTCGAAATCATGAGCAGGTATAATCATAGTTGATCCAGGTTCTCTTACATCCCAAATCCTCAAAGTACAATCACCTGAAGCAGATGCAAACACATCACCATGTTTAGGGTTCCAAATCGCTTGGTAAACGCAATACGCATGTTCCTTAAATGTCCTGATACTCGCCGGACGATCCATTGCCCAGAGCTTCACCGTATCATCCCACGACGCCGTGAGAAACGAATCACGGCGCGTGGGGTTATAATCTACTGAGTGAACCTCACGCGCGTGTTCTTGGAAAGATCGGATCGGATTTGAAGGTGGAGGAAGAGCTGTGTCGTAAATCTTCACGGATCCGTCACCGATTGCTGCGACGAGTACAGAGTCATGAGATTCCGACCAACATACGTCGTATACTGCGTCTGCTGTATCGAACGCCATGGATTCAGTGACTCCTGGAGCTCCAGGAGACAGCTCGAGCACATGGATCCGACCGTTTCCAAGGATTCCGAAGTTCTGAGCGGTGGCGACGGCGAGGCGTGACTCGTAGAATGGACTGAATTTCACTGAGTAACCGTTGAACGGAGCCTTGAACACCGGCATGGCTTCTCCGGCGAGTGTTTTGAGGCTTCACGAATCTGATCGGATAACAACGATTCTACTCACCGCGAAATTATTATTTTCTCCCAAAAATAAATTATTTATCGGGCCTATTGGGCTTAGACTCGGCCCATTAATTTTCGAGGCTGTGTGTGAAAACGGTGCCGTTTTAGGTTTTCGAGTTAGGGTTTTTTGGGGGTTTGGTTTTCTTACGGAGAAGCTTTCATCGTCTCTTTCTCTTCTTTAATTTCATCGTTCTGAGTTCTGAGACAGAGAGTAAGAGAGAAAATCTAAGTTTTGGAGAGAAGTTTCGATTTCGATTTTCGAGTTAGATTCAATGGAAGATATTACGGAAGGAGTTAACAACATGAGCTTAGCCGTTGATAACCAGAAGAAGAATCGGATTCAGGTTTCCAACACTAAGAAACCATTGTTCTTCTACGTCAATCTCGCTAAGGTACTAAAACCCTAAAAAATCGAGTGCTGGTAAATTCGTTTTAGCTTGAAATCTATGGATTCGAATCTGTATGCAGGAAATTTCTGTGATTGAGTATTTATGTATCGTTCCCCTTTATAGACTATGATCTTGTTAGGTTTCAATAGAAAGAGCCATTTTTTATGAGTTATTTCTGTAAATGGTAACATTTGTATCTGTTTGATTTGGTTTTTGATGTGCTCTGTATTGGATTTATGAATGTGTTTATGTTATTGATATTCTTTGGTTTGTTTCACAGAGGTACATGCAGCAGTACACTGATGTTGAATTATCTGCACTTGGAATGGGTAATGTTATTTACTTATCTATTTATGATCTTATCAAATATGTTATGTATGATTTTAAGCAATGTAACTGAGTTTCATTAAGTGTCAGAGTTTCCAGAAAAGCAAATTTCCTTTTATTGTTATGAGATTAGAATCTTGTTGTGATCTTAAGCTTCTTTATTTGAAGAGATTTCTCAGTCAGACATTTAATTTTGTGCAGCCATTGCTACGGTTGTTACTGTCGCTGAGATATTGAAGAACAACGGTTTCGCTGTTGAAAAGAGTAAGATCTTCTCAAATCTTGAATTTGCAATTGTTATAAAGAGATTTTGAAAGATTTCATTGACTAAAGTTTTGGTTTTATTTGGAAATTTGTTTCTTCTTATAGAGATCATGACTTCAACCGTGGATATCAAGGACGATTCAAGGGGTCGTCCTGTGCAGAAAGCCAAGGTATATTTCGAAATGATACCGTTTTCAATTTTTGATTTGGTTGTGGAATTCAAGCGTCATACTATGATTTTTCTTCTCAGAAGTTGTTATCTTGTTGGCTAAATTTGTGGGTTTTATGACTTGTAGATTGAGATAACGCTCACGAAGTCTGAGAAGTTTGATGAATTAATGGCTGCAGCCAATGAAGAGAAGGAAGCTGCAGAAGCTCAAGAGCAGAGCTGAAATGTTTGATGTTTTTCCTGTCGACGATCTTGTTTCTTCCTTCCCTCTCTCTGCTTATTAGTTTTAAGACACTTTCATTTGTTATATTTCGGTTAAATTTTTTGGTCACTTTGAAATGTTATCTTGGATTTCATTCTCTGTACTTCTCAACATTTTTATGTGAGGATTGTAGGAAGTAGAAAAAGATGGCTTGGTTGCATAGCATTCCGAATCAAATTATTCCACTGAAAGATCAATTTATTTCGATTTTGAAATGTTTTGAGTCACATGAAAATGTTAGTGATGCATATGAGATTTGGCTTATGCACGGACAGGTTATCATCTACTGGATGATTGAACAATATGTAAGCGACATGATCAATCTATATGGATACATAAGTGACACATTGCTCTTTTAGTTAAGCACTAAAATGATACCCTACCAGAAGAAAAATAACAAAGTAATGTGCATTAATGCTGAGTTGCTAACCACTTTGGTTCAAATTCTTAACACA